GATATGTAAACATCAAACAAATTACTCTACCTAATACACTTGTTGGAAAATTAAATTTATTAGATGTGAAGGAGATATAATATACAGTGCCGGATTAAGACCGATCATAGCCCTAGGCAAACATTTTTTTCTATAACCCATTGTAAAAAATACAAAAAACAAAAAAACAAAATTAAATTATATAATAATTATATTACTGATAAGTCATAGTATTATGGTTAATGTTACCAAGTTCCAAAAAGTTGAAAAATAGAATAATATACAATTAAATATATAATAATGAAAATGTAAATATAAGCTAACCTATTTAAAATTGAATTCCATAAGCAAATCATTATACAAACTTCTAAAGTATTCAATAAATTGTACATAGCTTTAGCTTCAACTTTGCAAATAGGTTTTTCATCAGCATTTTGAATTATATACAGCAATGCATTTTTTATACCAGCATAAGAAGCATTGCAAGCATCTGCTCGTGCACTCCAACGTGTAACACTCAGATTTTTAACAACTTTACCCTTACCAATATTTTCTTCCAAAATCGACCAACGGTTTGTTGAACATGAAAAAAAATTAAATAATTTTTGAAGCAAATCAAAAAAATGTGTTGCATAAAGACAGCTTTCAGCTGCTTACGTCCCAATTAGATTGAGTGAATGCCCAGAACATGGAATATACTTTGCTTTTGGATTTATATTCTTGATTCGAGGCTGAAGACCTGTATACTGTCCAGACATATTAGCCGCATTATCATAGCTTTGACCTTGGCAATATTCAATTGGTATTTCATATTCTGATAGTAAATTTAAAACAGTTTCAGCCACATCTTTAGACTTGTGTCCAACATTAGCAATGAATAATAAAAACCTTTCTACTGGTACCCCCCAAAAAATAGCCCCCTCTGATGGCAACTTTTATCTAGCCCTAGGCACGTGCCTATACGTTAATCCGGCACTGATAATATACTCCAACTGATAGGTCACATTGTAGAGAACATATAATTTTTTAACAGCGAATGACAATCAATTTCCATACAGGCAGACTGTAGGAAACTTATTATTCATATCTCAAGTCACGAGGCCAGATACAGTACTCGAAGTAAATTATGTACCTAAGTAGGTTTTTAAATAATCAAACTTCGGTTCATTAAACCATGGTTAAACGTATAATTCGATACGTAAAAGGAACAACACACTTTGGTGTATAATATATTATTATGCCTACGTTATATCTAACGTAAATCTGTGTTTAAGTGTGTATTCAGATTCTGACTATGCAGGAGACTTAGAGACAAGACGTTCAACTTCAGGTCATCTGTTCATGCTAGGGCTGTCTACGGTGTCATGGCAAGAGCAGATGCAATCCATATTCTATACTAACGCTCAGCTCAACTGAAGCAGAATATATCTGGGCATGCGAAGCAGTCATAGGTTTGGTTTGAATCAACAGATTAGTCAAGGAAATCTGTAACAGTATAATGGGCGAGCAACAAACATTTATACGTCGACAGCCAAAGTGCAATTCGACTTGTGAAAAATCGAGAGTTTCACATCAGGACTAAACACGTAGGCGCCAGATACCACTTCATCAGGGAATATTTGAAGAAAACTTATTTCGACTACAGCGCTGAGACTTGAGACGGAAGAACAATATGGAGAAACAATATGGAGACATATTCACTAAACCACTTCCAAAAGAAAAATTCGAAAAATGAAGACAAAAATTATAGCTTTTGAAATAACATTAATCCTTTATATTGCATAGAATATTGATTACGGAGGTGTGTTGAATATAATTTAATATTGTATAAAAAGTAACATCGTTTGTGCAATAATAACAACATATCGTTGTTAGCAGGTATTCCCAAATTGCGAATCACTACATAAATGTTAAAATAACAAGGTCAATAGGTCTCAATATAAGGCCGATGACTTTTAGCATACTGCAGACACTACATTATAATATTACTTATGTGTACGTCATGCGTTAGTAAAATATTACTAATTACTAAACTACAGATAAACTACTGACTTCGTCTAGACCGATCTATAAACATAGTCCTAAGATCAACAACATATAAAATGAATAAATAAATATAAATTATTAATTTTTTATAAAAAAATATTCTATAATTTTGTGTTTTAAACATTTTTTTCACTTGGGGCAGAGTTGAGTAGATTACACAGTAAATAGCTCTAACTAGCCCCGGACGGCTTATCGACAAATGTCCTAGATTTCGAGGACCTAGCTGGTATTATCTAATGTAGACGGTAGTAATTGATATTAGATTATTTGACTCAAAGGCACTTATATTTTATAGTACCTACCTATTATATATTTATATATATATATTGCTATACTAGTTCCTTAACATTTTTAATTTATATAATTATTGTACTATATGTATACTTCAGTGTGGTCTTGTACCTATTGTGTATAATTACAAAACAATAATGTTCGGTAAAGCTATTATAAAAACAAAGCTTATTTCATGTCAAACATGTACGTATAATCACAAATCAGTTATCACTAATAAATAATAATACCATATTGGAAAACAATAAAACATGGTTATTAGCTATTACTTATTGCCTATTGGGTAGGTACTAACTACCGAGTAGAGTACTAGTACCTAAGTAGGTCTAATAACTAATAAGTATAAATTGATGTCTTGTTGAATACTTGAATACGACAATATTACCTATACAATATGATAGGTAGTAATACTATTAGATAATAATGTAAAATCAATTAGTTTTGTGAACGTTATTCAGTTGGATTATTAACTTAAATTAATTTCATTCCTATCACAAATTGAAATATTATTATATGAACGAACCTTAAAAAGTATAAATATCTAATTTATCACTCAACATTTTGAAATGAAAATTGGGAATGCAATTTATAAAATAAAATAAAATGTTGTTCTTTTTAACATAAAGCACATTTAAGTTATTAATATTTTAAATTACAAAATAATAAAAATCACATAGGAAAAAAATTAATAAATAACAATTTAATTAGATAAGAATTTATTCGCTGAACTTAAACTAGTATATTTAACTAAACATTATGACGAATCATAACTCAATATATCTTTAAAAAAAATGGTACTTACCCACCCACTATTGCTGTTAAATGATAATATAATCAGAGACGAAAATGTCGTTAATGAGTGATTTCTTTTCCATGGCGTACCAACTATGCAAGTCAAAATGTATAATAAATTAACAAAAAATATGCTTTATTTAACAAACAAATTTATTGATAGTATAATATATTAAATATATATATTTAAATACTATGACGAATTAATTTTTGTAAAAAAATGTTTAATGTTACTTTGAAAGCACTTTTCTGGTACATGTTATGGGAAATTTGAAAATAATTATCTTTTGGATTAACAGGAATTAGGTAAATGGCTTCTGAAAATTTCTATGGCTATATAAACTATTATTTATAAACATAAAAATTAATTAGTTTAAGTTCAAAAACCTGAGTTAATACAAAGGACACTTTAAATAATTGTTTAAACTAATTATTACGATTCGTTTCGTTTGCCATATAATCTAAAATCACAATCCTTGACAATATTATGTCGGTATAACATAGGTACTACATCACTACCTACCTATTATAATTATATATTTTACTTTTATATTCAATCGGTTAATTAATTAATTTCACAACGTCAATCAATATTGAAGTATATTCAAAATGTTTAATGTTCGGTGACTCCTGCCATAACCTTATTTCTCTATAACACTGTAAATAATTTTGACATTTAACTACCTAAGTACTTAAGTCTTAAATATTCAGTATTATAATATTCTGTCGTCTAACAACTAAGTTACAATTAAATTACGAACTTGGTTTAGTTTTTTTTTGTGCAACATGATTGTTATTTTCGTATTAATGCCATTAAAATGACCTAGGTATAATATATAGAATATAGTTTATAAAAAACAAAAACAAAAAAAAGTATTTATAATGAAGCGCTAAGGGTTCGATAGAATGGGTTGAGAAACATTTTTAGGTAATTATTTAAAGTTAAAAAAAACTTAGCGGAGACTATCTTACAGTCTATTATTATATAATTTATTCTGATATTCATATAAAGAAGTCACTGACTCTGGTACCACAAAGTAAATATTTTGGTACAATCATATTCCTTGCTATCATATATCTATCACCTAACTATCGTGTGATAAGGGCGTATATCGAGTTCAAATCTCTGAAAAATTATATTTTGCAATTTTTTTTCGTAACGTAACGTTTTTCGATTTCGATTCTATGTGCCAAAGCAAAGACATAATAGTTTTAACACCCATGGCAACCATTTATAAACATAAATAAATAACGTAACGTTTTTTGTAACGTAACGTTTTTCGATTCTATGTGCCAAAGCAAAGACATCAAATGTCAATATTTATTTAATTGTATACTTATGTACATTTTTGCTGAAAAGAGTTAAAATATGTTTATTAAAAAGTATTCGCACTGATGGAAAACATTTAAAAGGATATTATATGTTTGAAGTGTATAATTACTAATTGTACAAAACAAATTATTAACTATAGTTATGTATACCTATGACGTGTCTAGTTTTTTTCATTTAATAATAATATGGCATAGGTACCTTATTATATTATATAGTACTTTTATTATAGATGTATTTTATAAATCGTAATTAATCGAGTTCACATTTAATTTAAAATCGTTTACTATCCGTGCAACATATATATTACAATACGTAAATGTTTATTTTTCAAATTTATTTAATACTTACAATAATGGACATGTTATTCAAAACCGGTATAGGTACTTCTCCGGCTCTCCCACTTTGACCGAACTCTCTGTACTTCCTCTCTTTAATCTGATCGCTGTGGGAATGGTATATAAGGCTATGCAGATGCCTTGGTTAGTTTAGTATTCTCAGATATTTCCGATTTGACCGAAACTACTTTTGCCAGAATATTTATTCGTTAAAACGTACAAAAATGGCTCATCTTAACTTATTTGTCGTTCTGGTCGCGTCGCTTGTGTGCTTCACATTGGCCGAAGAAAAGTACACAACTAAATTCGACAACTTCGACGTGGACAAGGTGTTGAACAACGACAGAATTTTAACCAGCTACATCAAGTGTTTGCTAGACCAGGGAAATTGCACCAACGAAGGCCGAGAATTGAAGAGTAAGTCATATAAGAACAAACGTATAATATTATATTTTAGTATTTCAATTTTCAATTATGTTGTACAATTAAAATCATAATGACATTGATTTAATTATCGGTACGTTTTTAAAAATTGTAATATCTATATACTTCTGGGGTATACTATAATCTATACATTCTATAACAACTACTACCTATATTATAATAATTATATAAAAATATCTACAAATTACCAATTTAAAAAAAAAAAAAACAATAATAACATATTTATTTAATATCGTACCTACTATATAAAATGCTACAAGTTCGTCAGTATAATATAATATAATTTTATTTATCCGTCAAATTATCATACCTTGAGTACATATCGATATACCAATAATACAATACAATGTTATACTTAACCAAGTTACCGTTAACGGTATCAATAAGAATAACACTAACAATAATATTTTTATTTGTATTCATATGATTACGGTTTTCACTTTCACGTCAAACATAATATTATTATATCGACAAGACCTTGCTGACTCGGTCAGACTCACTTTCACCGGGTGTTGTAATTCTTTTTCATCTGAGCCGAATTACCGTGTATATAGTATTTAGAAAGAAACAAAGTCGATATACGTAAAATGTGTGGTTAATCCTTAACTTTTTCCTAGCTATATTGAAATGTTCATTAATAATTGTTTTTAAACTTATTTTTCGCAATAATGTACACGTGTTATAATTATATTTTCTTGTCTGATTAAATTTACAGGAGTTTTGCCAGACGCATTGAAAACTGACTGCAGCAAATGTACAACTGTACAAAAAGACAGATCAGAAAAAGTAATCAAGTTTTTGATCAAGAACCGTTCTAAAGACTTTGATAATTTGACTTCCAAATACGACCCATCGGGCGAATACAAAAAGAAGCTCGAAAAATTAGAAGCCGAAAAGGCTGCTAAAAATTAATTCGTATTTCATTCTTTATTTCTTAAATGTCTACTTTTTCTATGCACTTCCCGTTGTATTAGAACCAATACAAAACAAATAATGTATTTCTGACTACTTAAAGTATTTTAATATAATGTACCTAATTATATGCTTATAAAAATTAGATAATATAATAATATAATATGTTTCTGTTAAAATAAATATTAGATATTTATGGAAAATGTGCAGTTATTTATGCTATTACTATAATTATTATTTTATTGTATTTTAACGATATTAGCAGTTTAAACAGTCATGTTATCTCTATAAATTGGTTCGACACGCTCCCAAAATTCTGGATAGTGTTTCTTCACGTAATTCAAAATTCGTCGGATATTGCTGGTCTCTGTTGAGGTACAGCGTTCGCAATCATTGTTTATTTCTTCGGGTATAGTAGCTGGAAAATAACGTATGATATTTTAAGTAAATACGATCATTGATTACGTACTGTTTATGATTGTACTTAAATAAGAAAGAGAGTTGATTAAAAATTATATTTGTACAAAAAAGGAACAGAATATGTTTTTTTTACAGTTCATTAGCTATGTATACAACAGCTTATAATAGGCCTTATTTACTTTTTATGAATGGCTCACAAAGTGAATTTTTTTTCTACAAAATCAAAACTATTCAAAGTGATTATTATTATAATATTCTATCATACAAAAATATAATAATTTTCTGCGAGTGGTACTATATATATCTTGTTACTATATAGACTCTAATAGTGTGATATTGATAGTGATGATCATAGTGTATATCATAGATACCTATTTAAAAATTATGATTAATGAATTTAGTTCTTAGGTCCTTAGGATGTACAGTTGTACAGTCTACTGATGTAACAATTTACCACTTACAATAGATTTATAATAGAGAAATACTTTAAAAAAATGAAAACATAAAATATTATTTATTTAATATTAATAATTTACGAACATGATAATTTGAGTTATTTTTCTATAGGTTAAGTCTAAAGTAAATGTTTAGAACGAAGCTATGTCAGTTATATAAATTCAAATTCTACATACTTACTATACTTAGTAGGTACCTATACCATGTGCAATAAAATAGGTAAAATTATTATTTCACTTTTTTTTAAAATGTTTTTTTACTTTTAATGTGCTAAAGTTGTATTTAAAATCTTTTATTGCAAGATAGTTTAAGTTGATTATTAGTTTATTAAGATGACAATAAAGACATTTTTCTAAGGGGTTAAATACAGGCAAATATTTATACTTTTAAAGTTAAAAGATTTTAGTTTTAGATTCCGAACGGAGCGATGATTGGATTAAATTTCTAACGATGTGTGTTACTTCATTTATTTTTGTCCCTGTCATCACCATTTGGAGCAGTAAAAATGTTCGATTTATGTATGTTAAAATTGCTTGAAAACTTAATACGTTCCTCGTAGATTTTTATACAACCATTAAAAATGATCGGAAATAAAAAATTACATTTTTTATTTATATTTATAATATTATGAAGTTCAAATTTTCATGAAATTCATCAACCACGACAATTTTACAAATTATTATGACAAGATTCCTCATAAGTATGTATTACTGGAAATAATAAAAAGTTTAGTGTAAAGCCACATACATTGTTTAAGAGCGATTTTTCGTATTGAAATTTTACTTTTTAAAAAATAGTAATTTAAATTTAGTGGCTCAAAATACCACGGGGGGGCCAAACGTCCTATCTTAAAATTATTAACGGGGATGAAACGTCCGCGATTCTTTGTAGGTACATTAAGAGCATTCTATTATTTTATTAAGTAATCGTACCTTTGAGCCTCATTCCGACGGAGTCACACGGATCCTCGTTTATGACGCAATAGAATTGCTTCATAGCGTATTTCTCGTCCAAAAGCCGGATTAAGTCGAAAGTGGTGATGAAATCCGGTTTATCGTCATCTTCGTCGTATTTACTGCTTCCGAAAAAATTTGCCCAACTAAAAAAAAACCCTTCGTCGCTGTCGGCGTTGTTTTCGTGGCAGTCGATGTCCCTCTTGGCCAGACGAATGTCACTCATGCTCGGTCTGTCATCAGAGGCGGTGCACCCGGTGAATGCGACGTGTGACACCATGACCACGGTCATGGTCATTAAGATCACTGAGTTCAGGCAAAACGATGACATGTTTGATGCGATGCGGCTCTGACGGTGCTGACGTATCGGCCAAATGTGTCGTTGTGTTATTATACATGTATATTATTTAAATATGAGTACTGGATTCCTGTACAATTCTTCGACAAGACTAGTAATCGATTTCTGCCAAAAACCAACACAGAAAATTCAACATTACAATTCATTATAATATGAGGTTTAAGTCTGGGGTCAACATATATGACGGAACACGTACAGGTTTTTTACGAACATCGATTGCTGTGTAAAAAAAAAAAAAACAAGGGAGTCATTAACAGTTTTAAGTGTACTAGGGACTGTGGAAAAGTTGGTAAGCAACACTAACGATTAACGAAGAACCGTCAGAACATTTAATCAAATGTTGGCTATCTGCATGATGTATTTAAATGTATTTTATTTTGCAGAAACAGCTGGAAAAGCAGATAACTTGTTTATAATATTGAAATATAATGCATACCTACCTAAACATTTAATTTATTTTGTTTATTTACAAAATATAATTTTGATTGTTATGTACTTATGTGTATAAAAATGTGGATAAGTTTTCATATTAATATATTTAAATAAATTGTAATCCAAGCAAGGGCGTGCTGGAAGGATTTGGGATTTCAAATCGATGCATTAAATAATTGGGAGCCTCCCAAATTTTTATTAACGAATTTAGAAAATAATTTTACATAGAGAAATAAATACATTTCAAATACGTGCTAATAAAAATATTGAATATTAGTATAACATACAACAGTGATGCCCAACCTTTTTTCCTTTTTGTAATAATTATAGTTTTTTTTGAATATTTAGTTTTATTTTCAAAATGTGTGACGTAGAATTCCTCTACTGGTTGGGCATTACTGACATACAATATATTAATATAAAGATATTCATATAATATTAACCTGATATTTTCAAATAATAATTATTACATTTATGAATCCGATACGTTTATCCTACTAAAGGAAGCCGAAAAATAAAATATCTAACATTGAAAAAATTAATTTGTAATTTTATATTGCACTAAAATAGTGCGTCGAATGAAAAAATAATGCTCAAAATTACGAAAAATTGCACTGAAACTTTTTTTTTTATCACACCTGCACCGAAAGTTTGGTTTTCGATAGCGGTTGAAGCGTTCGAAAGCGTCCTTTTTCCTTCCAGCGGGCGGTAAAGTGGGAATCCCTAATAGTACCGGACGGTAAAGTGGAAATCCCAAAACGCCCCTGCGTTCATGGAAAAGGTTATGCAGGGATCTATGCAACAATTATAGACTATTCTACAATAGTATATTTCTTTTGATTTTTCAGGCAATAGATTTAGTGAAACGGCGTTTGCCGTTTCAACCATGTGTGGTGGAGTTAATGGTTCACTACAACTGCTGTGTTGACTGTCATCATTCGTATTTATGCTCATTATTTAATTTGAATTATTATACAAATTGCGTGAAATAAACTTAGTAACGCATCGTTCGACGCACTTATCTAGGAACAGTGCAAATTAAATATGTTTAAATGTTTATGCGTCATGCAAGGAGGTTATACTATACATTTAAGATGTAACCAAAAGTTTATGTTTTGTAAGAACCGTGGTAGGTATATACATTTTAGTTTCTGGTTGTGCAGGGGATACGCGCACGGCGGCCGGCACTTTTGGGGATTTCTTCTTTTCCGCCCGGCACTTTTGGGGATTTCCTCTTTTCCGCCCGGCACTTTTGGGGATTTCCACTTTACCGCCCTCTGCACGGAAAAAGGACGCTTTCGAACGCTTCAACTGTGGTTGAAAACCAAACTTTCGGTGCAGGCGTGACAAAAAATAATATGTGTGGCTCTCTACTGCTCGTGCCGCACCCGTCGCCCGCGACTGAAATGGCTCACTCCCTTGCCACACAATATACTATTAATTCAATCACACTTGCAGCAAACAGCAAGAAATCAGATGGTAAAAAAACAAACATCAAGTACATGTAAATATAAAAACAATCTACTCATGTCCATCAACACGATTTATTTTATGTATTATTAAAAATAATTTTAAAACATAGCCTATTATCAATGCAATTTAATTTTAGTAATTATATTATAATTATTAAATTTTCTGTTCTTCGAATCTACAGCCTTATAATTATTTATAAAGAGTACCTACTAACTTTTTTAAATAACAGTTTCAGATGATACTGTGATATATTACTTCACAATCGAACAATTGTACGAATTGAAAAACGAATGAACAATGAATTGTATTCTTACTATTTAAAATAATGAGATGTTCTATACATTTAAGTAGATAATGAAATGTTTAATAATAATCGTAGTCATATAAATTACCATACAATTTCGAATGTATCATTATTATAACTTAAGTGTTTTTATATTATTTTATTTTATTTTATTTTAATTCGATTGATATGTCATTTGCTAACGATTATGACACTTATACAAACAAAGACCAAACAATTTTTTTTTAAATTTACTTCTTTTATTGTTTTTAAAATATAAAATTTGTATGTTAGTTAACGATCTCGGATCATCTTAAGGTACCAACTGTAAGTATTAGTAAAAATATTATGTGTGATCAAAATATTTAGTTCAATAAAAATACGCTTTCTTTGTCTCCTGAAAAATAAATGTACATTTTAATAATTGGGCTTTTGTTCTTTTGTGTCTTAATTATAGATGATTATGCGACCATTGTGTATAAGTTTGTACACCTACTTAGAAAGCATTTGGTAATATTGTAACATAATATTATAATAACTTTAAAAAACCTAACCTGTAACTTTACCTTACATTTCTTTATTATTATTATTATTATTATTATTATTATTACTACTATTATTATTGATTCTATATTTTTATGACTATATTATTAACCACATATTATACACCTACATACTACCTATTGGTTGATTCAATGTGAACATATAAATAATAATATACATTTTATAAGATGTATTTTTTTTGTATACAACGTCCGAAAGAAAACAGAACACGTGTCAACACAAAAATAGATACATTATATTAATATTCAGAACCCGGTATATAAATTGCAACCATCTTCAATAAAATATTTTTTATATAGAGCAGAATTTGTACTGAAAAATTAAATTCGTATATCAGCTATATAGTTATGATCCAAAGTCATAGACTTAACAACAAACAATAATATTCTTGAGTAAGGACATAATATGCCTTACGATTTTTTACGATTATTTTTTTTCAATAACTTTGGTAGGAATTAATAACTCATTTTTGATGGTTTACCTCCAAAATTCTCCCTATAACTTACACATAATATTCAGTTTTTTATTATTAATATAGGATTTTACCACAACTGTATCAAACCTCAAAATGTTAATACATACTCGTTACGTGATGAATATTAGTATAATTATTAGTTTGATAATAATAATAATAATAATAATAATAATGTCTTCAATTTTTCAATAAAATGTAATACCTACATCATATGTATATAACAGAAAGTACTTAAGTAAACGCAAAGCTTGTAAACGGTTGGTTTGATAATTGAAATTATATAGTATTATAATGGATAGTTATATATACTTAAATCATATAATATATTAGTTAAATAAAAATATGAAGGATCAACACTTTTGGTTAAAAAATAATGGAAGACACTTTTAGAAGTTATCAGAAACAAAGGAGGATTTTAGTTGAAAAATAAATTATTAATTTGGCTGAGAGTATTAGTCAATTTCCTTAAGATGTTATTAGTTGATAGAATAATTTATTGATACCTTGAGAGTTGTGATGTTGGTTTACCTACTACAAAGTTCAAGAGATTATATTATTAGGGAACAATACAATGCGACATATTATATTTGCACAAATAATTTTCCTATAAGTTGAACCATACATATAAGTTTTATTAATACACAATAATAAATAATATATAGTTAAATATTATATACTATATTAATAATTTTTAAATATTTAATAGTATAACTACGTGAACTCTTAAATATATTTTAATTTACTTACAAAATTATAAGTTGAAAAATCGGACGTTGCTTGCTGTGTTTTATACAATGAACTGACTCATATTATATAGGTTTAAGATTCGTTATGGAAGACACGTTAATTAGGTTTAGATAAGAGATAATTATTTAATTTAGTTGACGCATAAAAATCATAATGTATATCTATGCATATACGCGTTGGTATAATCGATCAATTTAGAAGGACAGTTCTTTGGCTATTCTACAATGATTATAAAATTGTAAATAATGTGTATGTGCTATTTTATAAAAAGCAGTATGCCTGTAAAATAATCGGTCTGATACATTTTCAGCGATAACATTTTGACAATTATTATGTTGAGTGTTGACCGTATATGTAGCTATTCAGATCAAATCGATATTATTTCTTGTCAAAACCGGGTTGACAGTAAGAATAATACATTTTATAATAAATGATTTGAACATTGAAAATACGGGAGTGGTGCGGGTGTTATCAAAACCCGAGTGACGGGGGAATACTCTCTGGACGATTGTCAACTAAACACCAGTTATACTATACCTTTAAATAATTATAAAACAAAATGATACAACTTATAACACTAGTAATATTTATGTTTGCAAACTTGCAATATTACCTACTAATGTTCGTGAAAACTGAAAATAAAGAAGAAATAAGTACCTATAAATACTGTATAGTCAGTGTATGAAATAACACGATTGAATATAATATGGTCGAATTCAGTTCAAACATTAAATAAGAGCAGCCAAGTGCGAGTCGGACTCGCCAATGAAGGGTTCCGTAGCAGCAAGTAACATACCTAAATAATAAGTCGTTTCGGTCTGCCGGCACGAACTTTGGCCCCACCACCAGGTCCAGCAGAAGTCTAATCTAATATTATAATAATATTACCCACTAGGGTAAGGGCAGTCGGGAACCTGCCCCCCCGTCGCATTCCTCACCCGGTACCGATCAAGCCACGCCCCTCACGAACTATAATTATTATTTACTTATTAAAAAAAA